TGGGAAGGGGAGGATTTAGGGGGAAAATCAGGAGGTAAAGAGAGAAAATCAGGAGGTTTAGGGACAAAATCTCTGTGTCAACTCCATGCAGAGGAAAAAATGTGGGAAGGGGAGGATTTAGGGGGAAAATCAGGAGGTAAAGAGAGAAAATCAGGAGGTTTAGGGACAAAATCTCTGTGTCAACTCCATGCAGAGGAAAAAATGTGGGAAGGGGAGGTTTTAGGGGGAAAATCAGGAGGTAAAGAGAGAAAATCAGGAGATCTGGGGACAAAAGGTCTCTTGTGAACTCCAGGCAGGTAAAAAAATGTGGAAATGGGGAAGTTTTACGGGGAAAATCAGGAGGTTAAGAGAAATAATCAGGAGTTTTGGAGAAAAAAATGTCAGCTCCAGGCAGGGGGAAAAAATTTGGAAAATGGAGTGTTTAGGGGGAAAATCAGGAGGTTTAAGACCTCGGGACACCCCGTTTCCCCCCTCTCTGGTTTTCCTGCTGCTGCTATTCCAGTTATTCCCCCTGTGTCCTTGTTGCCCTGGCACTGATGGTTTGTATTCCTGCAGGGAAATGTGGGTTTGTCTGGAAAACCGGGTCAGAAGGTGAGTCCTGGGGGGAGGAAGAAAAGCTTTGTTCCCTGTGAGGGTGGGGAGGGGCTGGTGTCTTAAACCCTTCTTATCCCCACCTTGGCCAACTTGGCTCTGGAAAACCTCTCCAAGCACAGCCAGGGAAGACCTTTCTCCAGTTCCAAGGGCTGGGTTATCCCTGGATATCAAACGGAAAAGGATCCCTCTTAATAATCCCCTCACAGAAACATCAGGACTGGCTTCTGGAAAACTGGTTTCTTAAACCCTTCTTATCCCCAGCTTGGCCAACTTGGTTTTTGGAAAACCTCTCCCAGCCACAGCCAGGGAAGACCTTTCTCCGGTTCCAAGGGCTGGGTTATCCCTGGATATCAGGTGGAAAAGGATCCCTCTTGATAATCTTAGGATCCGAGCAGGTGTCCCCTCACAAAAACATCAGGACTGGCCTCTGGAAAACTGTTTTTTTAAACTCTTCTTATCCCCAACTTGGCTTTTGGAAAAACTCTCCTAA